TAAGAATTTGGTGACACGCACTTCGGGCACTATAGCCTAGGCCGACTACAATTGGTTGAGTACCTCATATTAGAAGGGTGCATAGAAGAAATACCCCAGGTGTGTCCGCACCCCACCCTCAAGGAGGACTTCATACATCTTCATGACCTAGTCCCCTGCGGGGACTCCCCTTCCTAAAGAAGCTCAGATACTGTAAGACAAAAAGGCTTTAGGGCGAGGATTCCGGATGTACGCCAAACCTTAAACCCTAAACTTCCACCTAACCTCCCTAAATCCAAAACCCTTGACCGCTGATGTGTGACTTGAGGCTTTGGGGCTTGAGATTGCAAGGAGTTTGGGTATCTAGCAAAAATTCCATGTTGCTACCCTCAACCAGACTAGGAGTGGACCAACAGATTCCTCAGACCAAACGCCTCAGAAAACTGACCTAACAAAACTTGATGCAGCTGCAGCGGCCTCTTACCACTTCCCGCAGCTGGGCTCGGACTTCGTCCTTCAGGCTTGCAACAAGGTGTAGGGTCCAGGGCTTACCGAAGATTTTGGTGTGTGTGTGTGTGTGTGTGCGCGGGTGTGTGTGTGTGTGTGTGTGCTTATGAGCCGACAAAACTGTAGTCCGTATACATCAAAGACTAACACAACACAACACAACATAACACAACGAAAGCAACATACTGGAGTTTGCATCCACACTTTTGAAAATTGAAAGTATGCATCCACATTTTTGAAAAATCGCAAGCTTTCAAATTTCCTAGGTTTTCAAAAATTTGGAAAAACTTGAAAATTTTGAGAATTGAAAAACATGTAAAATCCAAGCATGCATATATATATATATAAGAAGAGGCCTCGCCAAATAGAGCATAAAGGTCCTACATACATACCCCTATATTGGGGTGTGTCCTACATACATACCCCTATATTGGGGTGTCCTAAATTAGAGGTACAATGTTGGGGTCCTTATAATAAGGGTTGTAATATTTTGGGATCTATTTTGGGGTCCCCCTATTTGGGAAACTAGCAGCCACGTACTTGTCTCTCAATGGCTTGGAGAAGATTAAATGATTCCGGGCAGCAGAAGATCTCTGCGCAAACTGAACTCCAATCTGGGCATTCTCCGAAATAAAGCAGACACCTGGAAGGTTTCTGATAACACCGCTTACAGTTCTGGGGTTCAGGGGTGTAGGGTTTAGGACCCAGATACCTGACAGAAGTACTTGGAGGTTCAGGGGAACTAATGATGAACCCGCACATTAGAAAACTACAAACATAAGTTTCAGAAGCTCCCACCTGACTCTGCCAAGATTCCGCCATGTCCCCAGCTTCGCTGCGGGTCCGAAAGGGCTGCGCAGTCCGAGCTCTTTCAAACTGGCAACAAGAGGATTTCCCAAACGAAAAAGTAGGGATGCCTTCCTTGGGTCTTCAAGAAACGACTCCACCATTTTGGTCTAGAAGAGGGGCCCCCACTTTTTTGAAAAAAGACTCTTGCTCTGATGTCCAGACCCTCAAGGTCCTGAAGGTGCGAAGCTTGAACAAACCCTCGGCCAAAAAAAATTGGGCCTGCCACCAACGCACAGAAAGTTCGTTGAGCTCTTGGGAAGGCGGCCCCCGGCTCACCTCATAACTGTGGCATCTCCAATGATGGAGATTCAAATGGAAAAGAACCTGAAAATCGAATGGGAGCTGGGAATCGATAGGGAGAGGTCCTGGGGTCAATTTCGTCTACTCTTTGTGATGTTCAAACTGGGTGTCCAAGGTGCGTGGTTAGAGGAAGTACAGCCAAACATGTCAGATTTCGGGTTGCAGCTTCTGTTCTCATGACAAGCTCAAGTCAAGGCTTGCTATTTTTCTATCATTTCAGGGCTGCCTTGCGCCTCCGTACATGGCAAGCTCTGGACTATCAACCTTCAGCCCATGGAAACCCTAAGCGTTGAGCCCACATGTATGCCCCTGAAAGAAAGTAAGGATGCCCAAAATGAGACACACAGCTCCCATACAGCTGGAGGAATCCCTTTGCACTAATGTTGCAGGCGGGACTTCTCAAAATAATGATGCGCTACTTTTGGCCCTGACGACTTTGTCCAAAAGTTGGGGCTGAAAACCAGGGAGATCCCTCTGGCGAGAAACTTCCCACACCAAACACACGCTCCAGACATTTACCAAAAATCAAATAACAGGATGCTCTATACCATAGTGGTTGGGAATAATCCTCCGAGTCTGTCTTCCGACGGTAGGTAGTGCTGCACACCTAGCCCTTCTAGTAGCCTCTTAGTTGTATGGGCTTTCCATTCCAGCACCGGAAGCCTTCTGTTCCGGACGCAGAGGCTAGCACATGCTGTCAGCCAGAACAACACACCACGAAAGGGTTGCAAAGGATTGTTTGCTGGGGGCTTGAAAAAAAGCGAGATCAAAGACTGGAGAATGGGATCTGAATGGATCTTGATACAAAATTCTTAGCGGGAGCCCTGGTTTCTGCAGGTAGTTATCCATAGACCAAGAATGCAAACATGCTCAGTAAAGGCTTCTCAGACCCTACGCCCCCCACGCTAGAACCCTATAGCTGAAGAACCCAAGCACTGACGTCTGAACCCTAAACTACCCTGAACCCCATTCTTGCGAGGTTCAGGCTGCCGCACCATCGACATCCGACCACCTGAGACCAAGTAAACAAACACTTCAAAAATGAGGCAACAGAAGACAGACAACTGTCATAAACATCCGACACGTTGAAGAGTTCAGGCACAAGAGAACAACGCTGAAAGGAAACCGTGCAATGTAGCAGCGAATGCGAATAGCTTGAAACAACACAGCACAACGTAATGCCACAGTACCAGCATGAAAGATGGGTCAGGCATGCTCGTCTCCTACACAGTTTTGCTTCGGATGCTTGCTGAACCGTGTAAAGCTGAAATTTGGCTCTTGCAAGGGAGCGTGCAACCTCTTTTGTGCATGTGCACTGTTGTGCAATCGCCCCCCTCTTGCTTCTTGCTTGAATCCTAGCCGTCTTGACGATCCAACCGACAGAACAGCAGACTGCCTTGAGAAGATGACCCATAGTTTCCTCATTCAGGTCTTCTTCTACGCTCTCCACAGCTTTACGAATCAACAGTATTTGCCTTCTAGTGGTGCGTAGGTTCCAGGCCCCAAACTTGGAAAAAAATATCTGCACTGACCAAAGCGAGTGTCCGTACAAAATAGGTGGCCAAACGAAGATGATGGCCAACGGAAGTAATTTCCGGAGCCGTCTGTTACTGCAAGATTGTGCCCAATTCCTTATCCAGAAACTGCATTTACTACAACCACAAGCAGGAAAACAACAAGAGCGCGCACACAAACAGCCTCATCGTATAAGTCGTTCAGAGTCCGTTGTAAACTTTGAACACTTGATGAAATAGCTGCTTAGAACAGCGCTTTCAAAAGGCCCCCCACCCGCACTTGATTAGCATGATGACATGTGGCTGTCTAATTGGGAACCAAAACCAATGATTCGCTGGGCCCATGGCTTGATCTCCTGCACTTCTGAGGCCTGACTGTGCAGCATCAAGTCATGCCAATGTGACAAGGGTCTAGGTCTTTTGATATAGGTTTCGTGGTCAAGAGCTTCATGTTTCTGAAAACCAGAGGACCTTTTTTTTGAGGCTTAGGGTTGGAGGGTTAGGGCCTATCGTTTGGCGCTTGGAGATTATCGGGGGTATTCTGCTGAAGTGGACCGTGAAAAGCTTTGGCAGCTTTTCGACCAAGAATCTTAAGGTGTCGGCAGCAACCAGCGCTCAGAGCCAAGCTTTAGAAGTGCCCTGCCCGGTCAAAAGTTCATGGCAATTGCTGCGCAGTTCCAAGCATCACCACTTGTTGCTTGCAAGCTGTCGCCAATGTTCCTCTGTTGCCTGGAAGGGCGCTGAAGTCTCAGAATGCTCATTTGAACATCAACCCCCTCAAGCTTTCAAACCCTCATTCGCGGATGCACTCCTGTCAGACCCCTTCCGCCTTCATTGCTGCCTGCAATGCCGACAGCCGCAAGTTCACCCCCTTGGCGCACGACTCGTACTACCTATGGACATAAACTTGCACGACTGCAAACACACTAAACCATTCGAATCACCGTTTCTCCCTATGCTGATCAATAAATCGGCTTAGCCATCACTAAGTCGTAGCAGCAGTAGAAGCACTAGCCGTAGTAGCAGCGCTAGCATTAGTATCAACGACCAGTAGTAAAAGCACAAGTAATAATAATGGCGGTCGTGGTAGTACCTGCAGCAGCTCCCTCTCAACAAAAGCATGAGTTGCTTGTAGCTACAGCCCATCTGACTGTTGTGTTGGGGCATGTGCAGTAACACATACAGAAGCTCTTGTCTCTCTTTCGTTCAAACAGCTCAAATCATGCTGGGTTTAGGGCTTACGGATTACGGGTATAGAGCTTAGGGTTTAGGGGCTTAGTCTTCAGGATTCATCTAGGGGTTCAGGGTCTTGGTTGTTTAAGGGGTTGTGTCTATCGTTGTGGGGGTTTGGTGGGTCAGGGTCTATGAAGTGTACAAGTGTGTCGGCTATATCAGAAGGCTTGCCTGACACGAACCTTCTGCCGGAATGTGCTGAGATGCTCTTCGCTGGAGCTCTCTTCGTTCAGCCCTTCGCTTGTTCTTGTCAAGACCAGAACTTAAACAAGCCTCGAATCCCGCAGCTGTACGGCTTGATTCACAATCATGATGCTGTCAGCAGCATCAGTAGAAAATACAAGAAAATGTAACAGTAATCTAGTCTCCTGCTGATATTCACGGCTCCGTCCCATGGCCGGTGCCCTTTGCACTGCAGTCCATGTGGTGAAGGCTTGGTGTTAGGTGGTTGAAAGTTCAAGACGTACCTGGATCATTCACAACCTTACGAGCTTCACGCTTGAGATGAGCACTCTTTTCTTGGCGCAGCCGCCAGCATTGTGGCATCATTTCTTGTGCGCCCATGGACGGACGTTGTCTAATTTACATGCGCCTGCTCCAGCCATTGCCCGAGCACCCCTACACCAGAAAGTCGGCAGACAGCCGCCGGCTTGCGATTGTGCTCACTGTCTCCGGGGCAGTCACTGCAGACTTCACATCCTCAGGCAGCTATACCACCACATTGCTATTCATATATGTCCAGCTAAGCTAGGGACCGCTGCGGCCTTTATGAAGTTGGCTTTTGCAGCCTCAGCGGCCTGTGATGCGCAGCATCAGGCTTTTTAAGCGATAAATCTGGCTCGTCCCCACATCCGCAAACTGAAAAGGCTCACAACACGGCTTGTTGTTCTGTTGATTACGGAAACAATTGCCAAGGGTGTTCGATAGTACACCACCTGGCATTCCCAGTGCTTAATCTTCATGTTTAACTGTGAGAGGTTCCCCTTGGCCTTCGCCACATCGGTCTTCGCAGCATCAACCGCCTTCAGATTTCAACCCTCTTTCTCTTTCTCAGCCACCAGTACGCAAGCCAGCAACGGACCTTGTCTGCGGAATCTGTGGCCTGCCAAAGAGACGAGGACAAAAAGCACATTCGGGCAGGTCCCGGAAACGCCAAGTACAGGACTTTTTGGGCGCTGACTTTCGCAGCCTAGGATCAGCAGCGCAGAAACTTTTCAAATAAGACCTTCAATTACTTGCGAAGCTCAGCCGTTAGCCTGTTCAGTCCCGGCTTTTGCAGAATGGGCAACCTGCAAACGGTCAAAATTCCGTGCCGGCCCCCTCGACCTACACACCAAGCTTACCTTCTCAATGAACGGCCTGCTGGAATTGACGCTGTGCGCTGCACGTCGTGTGTTAAACCCTTCAAATCCGGCGCCTTGAGCATGTTGTCCACCTGGTGGCATCGCAGCATTATTGCTAAAGCTTGCAATGCGCATGCCTGTTCGATGTCAGGAAACTCTGCTAAACTCCCCAGCCTGCTGCGCAAACGCACTGGGCATTTGGACCGGCTTTGCCTCGTACCATCCACGAATCAATACTACAGGGAAAGCCTGGTATGCACACAGGATGAATACCTTACACCCAAGGCATGGACTGCCGGAACGGTCGGCAACGGTGTCTTGCTGGTCTGGGCAGCAGCCTTCGGCTTTGCATCCTTATCGCAGAAGAGAGCTGCAAACTCGGTGTCCACCTGCAGCATGTCAACCCTGAGCCAAAGACTGCTTCAGCCTTATCAGTGGCTTTCGCCGTCTTTGCGGCCTGTGGCGAGCGGCTGGGTGGCGAAAATGGCTACATGCTGTTCGCTGGAACTCCTTCTGCATGCCGCCCTTTCAGACCAAAAGCTGTGCCCCACCAAGTATCAGACGGGTTTGGGAGCCGGTGTCACCACAGCGACTGCAGGCGGGGGCACCACGGGCACAGCGACTGCAGGCGGGGGCACCACGGGCACAGGAGGTGCCTGTCATTGATATTTCCATGGATGCCGCCACTGCAGGTCTCAAACTCTCCATTCCCAACGGCATTTGTCAGAAACGTCTGCGCCTGCCCAATGTTCGCCTGATGATGGCAAGGCTTGGCAGCAAGAGTCAATTTGTTCACATAGACGAACTGTTGGTGGCGAGAATAACTACATGCTGGTTGCAGGAGCTCTTTCTGCATACCACCCTTTCAGACCAAAAGCTCCGCCCACCAAGTATCAGACGGATTTGGGAGCCGGTGTCACGACAGTGACGGCAGGCGGCGGCGGCGGTGGCGCGAGAGGAGCCTGTCATTGACATGTCCAAGGTTTTGATAGCCCCGAAAGTGTCAACATGCATCAGGCCGCGAGCACTGACCCAAATGTCTCCTCACACCACCCTTCGTACTGAGTATCTATTGGATTATGGATGCCACCACTGCTGTTCTCAAACTCTCCATGTCCAACAGCATTTGTCGGAGACGTCTGCGCCTGCCCAATCTTGTTCACCTGATCATGGCAACGCTTGCTATCAGGAAACAACTTGTTCACGTGAACAACTGACTTGGCAATACAAGTAGCTATACACAGCAGTAGGTGTAGCCAGGGTGTATCATCAGTCAGAGTACTAGTAGGCCACCCACTCCTGAGAGGCTTTCATGTATACATGCATATAGGCAAGGTATATGTCTTTTGCGTGATGCGTTCGCTCTGTAAATTGAGCATGGTGTACCGATTCAACGGTTATAAGTTATAAGCAAAGAAGTGCAGACGCCCTTCATGCTGTTCAACAAGCGCTCATATGTTGTGTTTTTTGTCTACACCACTGCGGAAGTTTCTTGGAAAGAATATGTAGTTGGCTGTCAATTGATGTCTATCAAAGTGTGCAGATCCAATGATAAGCTTTGGAGCGGCCTCAGGAGCCAGTCGGCTGTCAGTCAGTAGGTACGCAGATGGAGGAAGAGGTGGAGGTGGAGGTCGAGGAATCAACAACAGCAGCAACAACAATAAGAAGAATCAGAGCAGCAGCAGCAGCAGCAGCGGCGGCGGCGGCGGCGGCGGCGGTGGCGGCCACCACGGCTTCGGCAGCGGCAGCGGCAGCGATGATGACGACAACTACACTATCATCTACATCCATACTGGCCTTTGGATAGAGACTGCAGTTTCACGTCACCATTTCAAGCATGAAGACTTTCATGGAAATACATAAGCCGTGCAGAATTCTTAAGAGACCCATTTCCCTGCCTCATCCATCAACTTAGGTGCCGTCATCGCTGTCACCATCTGCTCCTCGTTCCCAAAATACTTGGCAACAACATCTACTTGGGTGCTTCTAAACGTCAGCATCTCCGCATCCCCCAAGATACCCTAAAAGTGTACCCTGACACCAGAAGACTATGTTCCGCTTGCAGCTAAAGGCCACAATGTTATACTGCTACTCACGAGACTGCGCGAAGATCCCCCTTGTTGCGGGACAAACAGCACGCGGCTTTTGACGTTGGGTCTCGGACATAGGCAGGGAATTGTACAGGCAGAGGCACACCAACCAAGACTAAGTCAAGTTGCCAATCTGTTGCATCAAACAAGAAAGTCTGAGCAAAGAATCCTGCATGGGAGCCATTAGCGGATTTTCAGCCTCGGCAAGATCGAGGGCTCAGATGTTGGGGAGCTGCATGGTCCTTTATTCGAACTAACTTCCACAAGGAATGGTCTTCCCAAATCTCGATAAAGTCTTCAACAACCTCCTGTTGCCTATGCCAGTACCCGATACACATAGTAAATGCAAGTCTGCTGTTCAGACCTGCCGAGCTTCTTACAAGAATGCCCACATCCCCGTAAGGAAGCCCTGTCTGCAGAGGTTATAGCAGATCTGCAGTTTCATATCTAGTGACATCCAGGTCTCTGCTCCAAGTGAAGCATGTTGGGGTTGTCGGCTTCCAGCAGCAGCAGCAGCAGCAGCAGCAGCAGCAGCAGTTTTTGTGATTAAGTGAATTCCTGACAAGATTCCTGCAACAGTGGCCTTGACCAAGTGACGAATCTGATAATGCGATTTTCAGTTCATGTAGAGCCATCGGTACATTTGAGGTGACCAGAACCAGCATGAAAAGAGAATCTTCTCCAGCACCATGCGTTTCAGTCAAGGCATTGTTGCCAACAACCACCGACGTCACCAACAAGACTAGGCGGAGGAGATATTTGATTGTGCACGGAAACATTCTCCCCGCTTCTCATGCATTTGTATGGCTACGTCAAATTCTTCCAGACAAGGAACAACAAACAATCACGACCCAAGGTCATGTCTAGCACAGGCACAGAATAGGTGCTAGTGGTGCCTAACGCACCTTCTGACCCAGGACTGACAGGACATCTTGCAAAATGTATTTCTAAAGATGCCGAGTGTCTGACCCTGCAATCTTTCTGAGGACTGCAGGACTACAACTTGTCAGCAGTGTGAGTTTTCACGCTGGTATTGCGACATGCAAGCACGATGCGGACTGCAAGTGAACCTGGCAATAGTCTAAGAAGATTACCAGGCAGCGTAACTCTGCACAACTCTCACATATCACATATCACAACCCGTTACTCTGAGCCTCCGCATCGCAATCTGATTATCAGGTCTTGGGGTCCGCTGGATAAGCCTCATCTCCATATGGCATCTAATGACTACTACTGCCACCCATATTGCCGCCATCGCCAACGGCACAGCCTGCAGAACTACGACTATGACAAGGACGATAAGCTGGATAATTAACACCGAATACGACCCCTATATAGCCCATCATAGCAGTTTCGATATTATTTTCCATTATCCCAATATTCCCCAAACATACTGTATAGTTTCCATCCCGTGCCAAGGCTGCCACTTTTTGCTTTTTCGCCTCTCTCTCGGCTTCTTCCTTCTGCGCTTTCTCTGCCTCGTGCTGTTGCAAATTGAAGGATTCACCAGAATTCTGTCTAGGGCTTCCCAAAAGGCGTTGAACACTAGCAGGATGTGAGCTTTCCAAGAACCGTGCGACGAGCACTAGTTGAAGGTACGAGCAGATACTACAGTGCAAGCATACTGCTGTGCACACATCATCAAAGTGAGTTCACTGGAACACTTCAAGAACGCACAGCGCTGCGCAAGAGCGCTTGAACGAAAGAACACCCAAACAGCACTCGAGAGTTCTCCTCCAAATAGCATCCCAAGAGCACGCCAGAGCACCGAGGGGCCCAAGGCGACGACAGTTTCGAGGATCGAGAGAAGTCGACGGCCCATGGAGGGGTAGGCTGGGTAGAAGCGTGGCAAGCATGTCGATTCAGGGTAGGCCCCTCACTGTTCTGCATCTTGCAGACAAATGCCTCAACAGCTTGGTGTGGAGCCTTCCTCATGAGGATCATCCATTCAATTGGCACAATACCAAAAAAAAAAACGATCAAGCCAGTCAGGACTCTGCGGTGGTTTGATACGGTTTGATGGCTTGATGCAACCTAAGACAGCGGGGGCTCGGGCTCAAGACCCCTGTTGCTCCGGTTGGGGCTGGAGTGTCCATACCAGTATCAAAAATTGTCCCAGCTGCAACCCTGAGCAGGCCTTCTCTGCTGCTTCCATGGCCTTCTTCTTCGCTCTCTCCAACTTCTTTTGCTCTTCGGCCTGCAGGTCTGGATCTGGTGAGTGGGCCCAATCTCTTACCTCACCGCCACTCTGCAACATGCGAGTTTTGGCACATCTGACGTGCCTGCTTGAACTCTGTGAACTCCCCCAAGTCCAATTCCTGTTTTCGCTTAGACCAGTAAAGGTTTTCGTGCACGAAGAGGTAGCCCGTGGTGGTATCGTTCTTGCAGTTGCTCAAAGAGTCTATCGCTCCAAGCCGCTTCATGCCTGGGACCTCCATGACCTGCATTGCTGTCAGGGAACTTAGGTCAAGGTACTATCATAGGGGTATTATGACGTGTGTAGGTGTGTGTGTGTGTATAATATGTATAGATATATATATATATCTGTATACAGGGTTTGGGGTTACCATAATAAGGAAGCCCTATCATTTACTATATACATCTATGAACCCGTATTATGGGAACTTACTTCAAATTCTTTAACAGCCACCCAGTGACTGTCTTGTAGTTGACGACATGTCCGAAGACAACAAGGTCCGGCTTTGTGACAAGGAGCTCGTTGGTATTGCCCATGTTAATCTGGTTCATGGCCTTGAAGCAGTCTTTTGTCTGACCCTCGCCCAACCAGTAGAGCGAGCCCAGGTTTTGCTGCAAGATTTGCAAGATGACCCCATAGGTTGCTACGAGGCCCTTGGTCATGCCCACAACATTCTGATTGCAGATCGTGGCCGGCACGCAATTGGCTGCAAAGTCGTTGTGGGCGTAGGCCTTGTTCTCATAGATATAGAAGTAATCGCATTCCGCTCTGCTGTGAACATCTAAGGTCTGCTTGTCGATTGCACCTGGATCTGAACACTACAGTCCATACTACCAGGTACATGAGAGCCGCTCAAAATGAATCCCCACATATCCTCACACTCCCCACAGGCCCTGCTTCCAAGATGCCCAGTCAATCAAGCTAAAACCACAAACGACAAAGCCAGGGCAATTGCTAGATCATGAGCAGGCAGCTGCAATTGCCGTCCTTGAAGATGACCTTCGAAACATCGGATGTGCTTCCATAAAGCGTGTTCGCGTTGATGGAGCCGACAACTTGAAAGGCTTTGCCTGGAGCAGAAAGGAAAGCGACATAAAATCACACCCTGACTGCAACACCCACGCATTGCAGGAAAATGGATAGATGTATGCGATGCTTATGTATTTACATGGCCTTGTCCATTTTGAGATCGCGTGGTAAAGAAATGGCAGCTAACAACATACAACACTTTCCCCGGGAAAACCAGTGGAAAAGAAAGTTATGGGCGTAGATGTGCTGGACACGGTATCTTTCCATTGTTCCAAGCCGGAACCTCGAGGCCAAAAGGCAACTATGCTCTAGTCTAAATCCTACATCCTAAACACTAACTCCAAAACTTAAAACACTGAACCCTACACACTAAGCCCTAAACCCTAAACCCTAAGCCCAATGCCTCTAGCAGCACCGCAGCAGGAGCCCAGTATCTCCAGGCGCCCCAAGTTGGAGGCACCCATCCTCGAGAAGCTGCAGCTCAAGACAGGGATTATGTAGGGATTGCATTGGGATTTATAGTGGAAAATGTTGGGGAACTCATGGGGATCACAGTGGGGAATAGTAGGGACTACATACCACATACGGGTTATCTCTATCTGCCTTTTTGGTCTTCTTGATGATATGAAGATAAATATATCCCAGATGTGAGGCTCAAAGTTTACCTCAAAACTCTCCCAAGGCTCTGAAGCTTCTCAGTGAAGAGAGTCGGGGGCGAAGCGCTCTGGATTAACTCCTCTTCACTTAGAGAGACGAAACTGCACCGTAGCACAGATGAACAATCACGATGGTGCAAGCAATAAGCCTTCTCGCCATGCTAACGCTTAAGGTATCGTGGGCATCATAATGATTCCAACAGTCCTAGAAGATAATAGTTTCAAGCGCGCCAAGGACTCGGAAATCCCCTTTTGGTTCATGGCTAGGATGTGGCCTCCCCCGCAACTACCACAGCCGCCCGAGGCCCAGCAGATACTTTCACCAGCAGGGTGAGGCCCACTGCCACGGCCAGAGCCATGACTAGTCTCCGTGATCCAATATGACACGAAAGCTACGGAGAAAAGAGCCAACAGCAGCTGCAGGCTTGCTGTCATGAAAACCACTGATTAAAGTTGAACACACGAACAACAAG